ATTAACAAGCTGTTTGCTTAAAGAGAGAGGACACTGAACAGAGAAGACTTTTGCTACTCCTTGGAGCCATATTAGAGGACTAATTTTATAGGTGAAAAGGTGCTTTCTTTAGTATGGAATACTGTAAAGCCTGCAGTCCTAGCCATGGTTTGTTGGGAATCAACCTTATTATTGTGTTTTTTAATTGTGTATTGTCTTTATATTTTGTAACTTTGTTTGTTTTTCCCCTCCCTTGAATTGTGAGCCGCCCTGAGTACCTTTCAGGGAAAAGGGCGGCATACAAATAAAGTAAATTCAAATTCAAATTCAAATTATCCATTTTTCCTCAAAAGTTTTGAACTGAGTATAATAAGGTTGATTCCCAACAAACCATGGCTAGGACTGCAGGCTTTACAGTATTCCATACTAAAGAAAGCACCTTTTCACCTATAAAATTAGTCCTCTAATATGGCTCCAAGGAGTAGCAAAAGTCTTCTCTGTTCAGTGTCCTCTCTCTTTAAGCAAACAGCTTGTTAATCCAACAGGAAACAACATTTGCCAGGATTGGCAGCTGAGGATTTATACTTAATTCCCCCCTTTCCCCCTTCCTCTACCTTCATTTTTTAAAGGTTACTGTCCACTTTAACACAGTTGTCAAGAGGAAAAGCAAAGTTTTGCTTCCTTTTAAAGTCACCACTTTTCCATACATTTTGACGTGCATTTCCAAGTATAAGAACAGATGCTTTTTTTCAGAAGACTGCAATCTGGGGAGGCAGAAGGTTATGAGCACATTTTCATTTTGGAGTATTTAATTCCTGACATTTCTTTAATTCCAAATACTCTACACACACACACACACAGAGAATTGGCTTCTCCTCTCATTTCTGACTGAATTTCAATGAAACAGAAACAATATTAAATCCCTTATAAAAATGGTGTTGTCCTTACAACAGTAACTTTGGAATTAAAAAAAATAGATCCCACAATATAATTAATAACTGAAATAATCTTTCAATTACCCCAGGGCCAGAAAATGGTCCACCTCAACAGTCTTGAAACAGTGTGTTTGGATACAAGTGTTTGCTGTAGGCAACAAATGCATTTAAAAAGGCAGAACATCTGAGAGCTCTAAATACCTACATCTGCAGGAAGTCAAGGGCTAATACTGTTTACTGTTCTGGCATTGCCTTCTTTAATCAGTTTTGGCAGTAAATAGTTGATTTAGCCATGTGTCTAGACTCACTGTGACTGGAGTGGTCTTGGGCTTTTAATTTTAAGAATCAGCAAACAAAAGTAAATAGAAAGGGACTTTTTCAAGGTGATGCTGGTGATAACAGCAGACCCAACTCAAGTTTCACTAGTTGCTTGTTATACAATTACATCCAGTTATATGTTTCCCTACCTCTGGCTCAATTCAAAGGCTCTTTACTGGCAAGAAAAATGTGCAATGTGATGAGATCCCAACTTGGGTAAAAAAGTAAGGAGGCAAGACACATAGAGCTACCACTTTTGGTGATAAAATCATGTTAAACTACCTTGGTAGCAGAAGGTTTTGATGGGGGCAGGCCTGGAATGTAAGAGAATATTGATGGAGGTTCTATGAAAATTAAATGTAGCAAAAGGTATTATCAACTCTGCAAAGAAGAAAGAAGAAAACAAAGCAAACTGCTTATCAATTATATAACACAACAGGTAAAAGATTTTTCTTCTGGAGTTCCTGTGCAGGCTATGATAAAAATGATTAGATTTATGGTGATATTTACTGACCAGAGACCGCCAGTAGGTTACTAATAAAACAAAACTTAACATGTAAAACATTTTGAGCTCAGTCCTTGAATTTTTCCTTCCTTCCTTCCTTCCTTCCTTCCTTCCTTCCTTCCTT